TCCAACAATTAGAAAAATAAGCCTATAGTCAACAGAAGAAAAGAAAGAATAAAGAACAGAGCAGAAATAAATGTATTAGTAGACAGGGCTTGATGGCAGACTAGGCAGAAAGACTGTATAGATCCTCTTCAGCAAAACACAGAAAATCGGATGAAACTGATTCAGAAGATAGTCCAGGAACCCTGAGCTTTATTTATATAAAGGGATCAGTAAGTGGATTGAGAGCTTACAGGGAGAAAGAATTTGAATAGAGGCAACCAAGGAGGTGACTCTTGATTCGGGGCAGCCAACATGACCTACTGCAACTATTTTGAAGAAAGTGAGTGGATTGAGAGACAAGAGAGAGTTCACATTGCAGAAGCCTGCCTGAGATTACAGAGACAAAGGTGTGACACTTATTATTAAATCTTGTCTTCTTTTTCACTTTCTACTCATTTCCTCTCTGGTGACCAGAGTTGAGACTTGTACAAGTAGACACCCCCAGGGAAGATCCCACAACTGGGCACATAATCAAAGGAGAAGGGGGGAACAGAAAGAACCGGTGCCAGTAGTATTGTCCAAATCGGGCCTGGCCAGCCCTGGGCTGGTTCTAAGAGAAACAGCGAGGAACTCAGGCGGCTGTGAAGGTAAGAGTCCATTAAATGATCCTAAAGAATTACTCTTATTTTTTTGCTGTTGCTTCATGGCTGTTTTTAAATTTACTTTTCCACTTGCCTTTATATTGTTTTTCCTAGTTTTTTATGATTCTCGTTTTTAGTTTTGTGTTGTGGGTCCTTCTGATACATTGTGGGAGAGTTTTTTCTTCATGTCTCACCCGACAAGAGACAATAACTGTGGCCATACAGCCAAACCATAACACTAGCCTCTAAAATTCCACCAATTGGGCAAGAGCTAATTCCAACTGCTATACACCAGAGAAGCATCTACAATCAACACCTGCTAAAATCACTCTGAACTGAACTGTATGAACAGTGAACAGAGAAGCTCACCTCCTGATCACACCTACAAGGAGGCAACTGGAGATTTCTTAATACACCAATAATCTCCACAGAGTGGTATCCAATCTGTCTGGGCGGGGCTGAAGGAACGAGATGGAGATAGCACTCATGTGGTACAATAGTGAATAATTACTATCAGGACTGACTGTGAGGGTTGGAAATGTAAAGGCAGACGTTTTGTAGCAAAAGGAGGGGAGTGGTTGACTTTGCAGTCTAGGAGCGGAGGTCCCTGGGACCATCAAGAGAGAAGAGTGTAGTGTGGGACTCTACCCAGAGAAACAGTGACGCCAGAGATGGAGGCAGAGACAATGACATGGGGATATAGAGCGGCTGGAAACTCTAGACCCAGAGTGGGACAGGGGCTGTGTGCTGATGATCAGGGGGCAAGCTTGTGGGGTATACCCTTTCGTTGGTTGAAGATGCATGGAGGGGATTTTAACAATGGCAATGAAACAATATATGATAGGATGAATGTAAAGCTAATGTTCTTCCATATAAACTATCACATAATTCACAATAAAATA